GGTTTTTATTTAATAGAATTTTTGACAAAAAAAATCAGAATATATGGGGATAAATTGGGATAAATCGTATTGTGAGCCCTCTGTCATGATACGTATCGTATCGCCAAATTCTTTCCAAAACACAGGCCTAGTCCTTCAGTGGAGAACAGTTTGTGTTCAAGCTGCTGGAACAGTGTAAACAAATGTCCCACATCTCCTCTACATCATCTGAGAGTTTACACCTGTGTTCAGGACCAGTGCTGAACCATCAGATAATCCAGGACACATGTGTACCCAGTCACTGCAGACCAGTGCTGACCCCTGGTCTCTAAATGATCTCCTGCTGTTGACCCATGCTCATGCAGTAAGCAGCTCCTCTCTGCTCCTCTTGCAGAAGATGCCATGGCTGGAAAGAGAGTCTTCCTGACTGCGAGTACAGCCCGAGAACACGTTAACCAAGTCTGGGAGAAAGACGGTAAAATGAGACATTTCATGATGAGTAGTCTGAGTCACATCAGCCCTGGAACCACACCAGTGTCCTAAATCAAACTCATCCAGTGGTTTCTAATACGTTTAGGATGTTTTTATTCTTGTGTAGTTATTATGGTGTTTGTCAGTGTGCTGTTTGATGAAAAATGACAGAACTTTATCACAGTTTGGATGTTAAACAACAAACTCATGATAATTTTCTGCTGCTCCTCAAGGTTTCTTCTTGAAATGTCTGTTTCCTGGGATGGAAGAGACCCCGGGGTCTGAGGAGAAGGCTTTCCATCCAGACCTGTTTTTTCTGGAGCTGCTGGTGGTCCCTCCCTGCAGGTACAGTAACACACAGTAACACACAGACACACACAGGTGATTGTGATGTGAAGTGAGCTGTAACCTTAGTCACTTCTTTAAACAAAGCTCCTCCTCTTCCTCGGCAGGTATCGTCCAATCAATCGACTGGGTGACCAGATGTTTACCAACGGTCAGACCGTGAACATGCAGGCCGTGATGAAGGACTGTGTGGTCATCAGGAAGCTTCTGGCTCTCATAGCAGGAGAGAAAACCACTGAGGAGGCAGAGGTGAAACTGGAGCCCTGCCTGTTTTACTGGGTTATTATAGGGATGGTACTGGACCCAGCCCAGTGCCCCACGGTTCAGTTTCAGCCCCCTTGACCATGTATGGACATCATTTGAGGGTGGGACTTCCGGTTATCATTAAAAACTTTAAATTTAATGAAAGAATTATAAATGTTTTTTTTTTAAAAAGGATACTTTTCTATCATTTAAACACAGTAAAAGTTATTTCATTAAAAAACTTTAAACCTAATGAAAGAATTATAAATGTTTTTCATCTAAAAAGGTTACTCTTCAACAAAATAGCTGCTTATAGTAGAATCTGTATTGTTTAAGATTCTTTCCTACAAAATAAAATTAATTTATTTGTTAAAAACTTTAAACCTAGTATCTGACATCATCTGTTCATGTGTCGTGACTTCTGGTTGCAACATCTGCAGCTATCTGATAACGTTTGCTATATGTTAATGTAATTTCTTGTCACGACACCCCCTTAGTGCGAGAGCTGTCACCCTCTTAGGGGGCGGTAACCCCACCCTCAAATTATGTCCATATATGGCCAAAGGGGTGGGACTTCCGGTTATCAGGTATCAAAAGGGGTCGGGGCACCTGTCAAGTTAATTAATTGACGAGGAGTGTTCCCTATAGTTTTTTTTGTGAAAGTTATTCTTCAGCAGTAACATGATGATGTTTTTGTTTTGTTTTCAGGCTACAGAGCCAGAAGACCAGACTTTTCTCTCTACCATTGTTGGCCAAACGTTACCAGATAAACTCTACAATGTGTGGATCCACCTGCAGAGCCACGTTAACATCGTCTTCGACAGCGACATGGACAAACTGATGACGGAGAAATATCCTGGAATCAGACAGGTATCACAGTCTCTAAATATCCTGGAATTAGACAGGTATCACAATCTCTAAATATCCTGGAATTAGACAGGTATCACAGTCTCTAAATATCCTGGAATTAGACAGGTATCACAGTCTCTAAATATCCTGGAATTAGACAGGTATCACAGTCTCTAAATATCCTGGAATTAGACAGGTATCACAGTCTCTAAATATCCTGGAATTAGACAGGTATCACAGTCTCTATATATCCTGGAATTAGACAGGTATCACAGTCTCTATATATCCTGGAATTAGACAGGTATCACAGTCTCTAAATACCTGACTGTGGCTGTTCATTGCTGTCTTAAAACTTGTTTTCACAGAAGAAAGGGCCTTTTGTCACATTTAAATGTTATATATAACGTTGGTAAATAATATTTTTCTTTTCAACTTTAATTTTCTTTGGAAGCTGTTTTTAGATCACAGATGCTGAAAATATATTTACCTGCGTACGTTTATACTTATGATTTTTAGCACATTAAGTTTTAAAAACTCATTACCTTCAAACATCCAGTTACATTTAGTTAAAACAGAGTTGTTACAATCTGAAGAGGACAAACCTAAAGTTWGAACCAGTTTGAAGGAACCGACTAGCACAATCCAGGGTATAAGATTATGGAATAATCTGGAGAAGACAGTAAAAATACCAGATCAGTGTKTATATTTAAGACAATGRTAAAGGTTAGTTTGTTGTAGAAATATATAAATGCATGATGTAAGAACTGTTGCTCAAGGAGTTAAACCTTGTTGTTTTTCTTTTGTTTACCTTTGTTTTTGTAGCTGGCTGAAGCCAGCTATATGAAAATACTCAGAATGCTGTAAAAAGACGCACAGCGGGTGGGTGGGGGGGTGTTTAGGAGAAGGTCTGCAGCTGCACACGACCAGAGGAAATCTTCCCTTTGTCTCTGATGAGACGRTAAAGAAATGCTAACACCAGAGGAACAGTATGATGGAAATATGAGTGGTGTTGATCACTTCCAAAACAGGAGAAAGTAATGAGCTTAGATCCTCTTCGACAGGAAAGTGTGCACAAACTGTTGCTGTTTYTACGTTTTATGTTTCTTTATGACATATTTAATGTTGAGTTCAATCCTATGACATTTTTATTTTATAAAAGGAAAACTTTACTATGTGAGATTTGATATTTTACACACAGGATGTTTTTTTCTTGGTAAATATAATTTAAAATGTGGTTCTCAGAAACTTGAATGTAACTAATCAACACAACGTCGTGAAAAGTTGGGTGTTTCTGKAGATGTTTGTCTAAGTAAAGCTTGAGTTTTCAGCTCAGATGAACTCTTGTTCTTTCCTGTCAGATCCTTGAGAAGAAGGACGGATTGTTCCGGAAACACATGATGGGGAAACGAGTGGACTACGCTGCTCGATCGGTCATTTGTCCCGACATGTACATTGAAACCAATGAGATAGGCATACCCATGGTAAATCTAACTCAGCTTAGACCAGGGACTCAGTTTAAGACAACATCTCTGAGTCTGGATGTTCCTGTAGGTGTTTGCCACCAAGCTGACGTACCCTCAGCCGGTCACACCGTGGAACGTGAAGGAGCTTCGTCAGGCTGTTCTGAACGGGCCCAGTGTTCACCCCGGAGCCTCCATGGTGATCAATGAAGATGGCAAAAGGACCATCCTGTCAGCTTCCAACTTCGCTCAGAGGGAAGCTGTCGCCAAGCAGCTGCTSACGCCCTCTCCGGGTCCACACAAGATCCCCATGAAGATAGTGGGTCACGTGTTGTGTTACAAGCAGAGATGAACCTTAGGAGCACCTGTAACTGTGTCTGTCCTCCTCAGGTAAACCGTCACATAAAGAACGGAGATGTGTTGTTGCTCAACAGACAGCCCACTCTGCACAGACCCTCTATACAAGCCCACTGCGCTCGCATCCTCCCAGGAGAGAAGGTCCAGTCTCTGTTTGTTCAGAAATAACTCTTCTGAGCAGCCGTTTCATGTGTAACGCTGTCATCTGTTGTTTAAGAACTGGATTTCTGCTTGATTGACAGGTGCTGAGGCTCCATTATGCTAACTGTAAGGCCTACAACGCTGACTTCGATGGAGATGAAATGAACGCWCACTTCCCTCAGAGCGAGCTGGGCAGAGCAGAAGCTTACACACTGGTCAGCACCAACCAGCAGTACCTGGTCCCCAAGGTGGGTGTCATGATACAGACCATCAACAGGAGATCACACCCTGTGTGTCTAATACACACTCTTCTGCTCAGGATGGTAAACCCTTAGCAGGCCTGATCCAGGACCACATGGTGTCAGGAACCAAGATGACCATCCGAGGCTGCTTCTTCACCAGAGACCAGTACACTGAGCTGGTGTACAGAGGGCTGACAGACAAGGCAGGCAGAGTAAAGCTGCTGCCTCCTGCTCTGCTCAAACCACAGCACCTGTGGACCGGAAAACAGGTGGGTCCTCCAGAACTAACAACTCCTTTAGCTGCTGCCACAAACTGACAACTCCTTTAGCTGCTGCCACAAACTGACAACTCCTTTAGCTGCTGCCACAAACTGACAACTCCTTTAGCTGCTGCCACAAACTGACAACTCCTTCAGCTGCTGCCAAAACTAACAACTCCTTTAGCTGCTGCC